GTAGTAAGAGGAACTAGAGCAGACATTGTAAGATCTTGCCTCAAAAGTTCTCCATTATGGAAATTTGTTCATACCTTAAATCTATCTACGAACATGAGAGCACATTTGGGGGGAGGTAGTACAAATTTTCCTTTGAAGTTACTTTTAATTGGAGACGGAAAAGTACCTCATTTTGAAAATAAAATACCTATTGATCAAGATTTAGGAGAAAAAGTGACTAGCATTGAGAGTTTAATATCAAAAGTTTACCCAGATATCGTCGAAATAGAAAATAAAGATTATCAATGGATGTGTCAACGAGCAATATTGGCGGCGAGAAACAGTAGTGTTGAAGAAATTAACGATTTAATTTTAACTAAACTTCCAGGGGATATAGTCACCTACACTTCTATTGATAATGTAATGGATCAAGAAGATGCAGTCCATTATCCACAGGAATTTCTTAATTCTTTAAATCCGAGTGGCCTCCCCCCAAATTCTCTCAAGTTAAAAATTGGTGCCCCAATTATTTTACTTAGAAATCTTAAGCCACCAAATTTATGTAACGGGACTCGACTTCAGGTTAAATTTCTTCGCAATAACGTGATCGTTGCAACAGTTTTGACTGGTCCAGCGGTTGGTCAAACAGTACTTATACCTCGGATTCCAATGATTCCAAATGATTTGCCTTTTCATTTTAAAAGAGTCCAATTCCCAATTAGATTATCTTTTGCCGTAACGATAAATAAATCACAGGGGCAAACATTTAAATATGTAGGATTAGATTTACGGCAAGACTGTTTTTCGCACGGCCAACTATATATCGCGTTGTCAAGATCAGGTTGCGGAAACAATCAGTATATTCTTCTGCCACAAGAAAATAAAACGAAAAATATAATTTACTCAGAAGTACTTTAAAATAATATTTTAACCCGGTTTAAAGTAGACGGACACTCCCGCCTGTAGTCGTAATTCTTATGTGTCTGGCTGAATGTCGAACAGACAGACAGCTATTGCCTGCGACTTATACAATTTAACTTAATCTATATTTTTCTTAATATTATAAAGCTGAAAAGTTTGGTTGTTTGTTATGAACGCGGTAATCTCGGGAAATACTGATCTGATATGAAAACTGTTTAAATATTCAATAGTCCATTTATTGAGGGAGGCTATAATATAGGCAATATTTTATCTCGGTATTTCCACGGAAACGAGAAAAACGCGGGTGAAACCGCGGGGCACAAATAGTTATTGATATAGGAAAAAAGGTAGCGCACCAGCGCGCACGAAGCCCGAAATTGCAAAGTTACGGAGAACTAAATAAAAGATCGAAAAAGGTAGACTCCATCGATACCGATTTAAAAAATGCTGATAGCGTGAAAATACGAAGTGAAAATGATTTGTTATTGTGTTCTTATGGTTTAAAACGTTACAGGATCCTATGGAAATAAAGGTGATACAAAATATCCAGTTTTGAGGTGAATGCAGAAAATCAAAACAGAATGGAAAAATGAATTTAAAATAGTGTAAAATGATATGTAAGTAGCATAACACTACACACTTCACTCAAATTAAAACAGAACTGTCGGTCTCTGCGGTTAGCGTGGCTTTTATACCGCGCGTATAGAGTCGAAAACTGACTGGAGAAATCACGAAACCGACTCTGGAAGCTTCGTGTATCTACCTACGCGAGCAATCGGGAATTCGGGACTATTGCTATCTCGCTTGCTCTAACAATATAACCCGTGGATTCAGCCGCCACCGCGCTGCCGTCGTCGCCGCGCCGCCGATCGCGGTTGTTCCTCAAGAAAACGAATTTAACCGAGATCAGCACGAACATTATCGACCGCTGTTACCTACGCATGCAAGGCGCACCGATAAGCGCACTTAAGAGCGCGCGCATGAGTTTCAAATTACTTTTCGAACATATTTTTTTTTGGTTTTATTCTGGAATAGAATTCAATATTTTTCTAATGTACGAGAGTATTATTTTTACTGTCAGCGGGCCACCAGTATTCGACCGGCGGGCCACGGTCTGTGCATCTACGCTATAGATAATGAACTAATAACAATATTTATGAGTCATCTTTGTATGCACTCTGCAACAGCTTGCCCAGTACCAGTCATTTGTCTTGTGATAAAAACATAAAATTTTAAGATTATTCTAATATAATAAAGACAAAATAGTCTAATCTAATATGTCTCTAACAACATGATTACCTATATCTTCTAGGTTATCATCATTGAAGCTATGAACAATTATTTCTGTGGATGTGGTGAAATATGGTTCCATCAATCTGAATTTAATATGCATGATGTGTAGCACTGCACATGCATTGACTATTAGGACAGCAGTGTATGGCTCGTACATTAACTAGTGTTGATGAGATAGACACCTATTAACAGACTAGTTTACCAAAGAATATTTTTATGTTTCTGGCTCCCAAGGCATTGATTTTTCATTGAGGTCATCAACCATGGCTCCAGATGATATCCATCATCACTTAAAAGATTAAACATAGAAATTGCATTTGGAAGCCTTATAGACATTTTCTTCCAAATAAACTTTAACTGACCAAGTAAATGTACGGTGATCCCCATTGTGAAAATACGAGTATCACCTCATGGTTGAGCATTGTGAGCAAGTGAATTTGCCCATATGAGAGTGTTGTATCTAGCTTGGCCATTTAGTGTTGCTGTTTAAAATTAATAAGTTGTGTCACACACCTAAAATATACTTAATTAGATGTACCTATTTGTGCTAAATAAGTAAATAAATTTATTAATTATTAATGATGTTCCAGAGTGGAACTAGGTACTTGCACTAAAATTATAATGTAAGCCCTTAAGACTAATAAGTATTATTTAAATTTGACCTAAACTGCTGAGTGAAATGTTTTTTCAATAACACTTTTCTTACTGTCAATAATATGGGGAAGATACTTTGTTCATATGTTTAAGCAAGTAAATAGGTAAAAAATAACTACTGAAGATAAACTTACAGCTTGTATATTTAATGAATGGCCCTCACGTTGAACACTTACATTTGCCTCTTAATGCAGTTTTGGAGCTATGTAGTCTATGGCTCCAATTGCATCTGGGAGTTTCTGTTGGGCATATTCAATTTTTTTCTTTGGCTGCTCGCCGCTCTTCATGGGTCATAGGGAATTTTATATGTTTTCTCAATAGTTGTAGATAACGGTTTTTGGCTCATGCTGCAATCCTACAGCATGCCAACTGATAGTGCCCACTACCATAAAATAGAAGTGCCGTCCTATTTAGAAGGAAATGAAAGTAAAAGTTAATACAATCGACAAATAGTGTTAGTTTTTTAAAGGTATAGACAATTACATGATGACACTCACTTGAGAATCCACAGAATGCCCGCACGGCTGTTGTTCTTGAAGAGACGGTCCAAGTTCACCTACAAGCTCGGTAAACATATCTTTTGTAATTCTGTAAAAGTATAGAAATTGACTATCGTCTAAACAAGGGATTTTCACTTTCGCGCCGGTTTCGTGCGATTTGCCGACGTATAACCATAACATGCCAATGTTTGAGCACTGACAAATTCGAATATATTTAATTATTCGATTTATTCGATTAGAATAAATATTAAAATATCAATTCAACAGCTTGCGATCGTAACGAACACTTAGCGGGCTGTCTAAAATGGTTGTTAAGATATTGGCTAACTTAACAACAAATTTTAAAGTTTTCAATAGTGTTGTTACGGTACCGTTATTAAATTGATAGCTTTGACAGTAGAGATATGGAGTGTAGAGTAGAATGAGAACCATCTTATAAGGTGCGAAAGTTGAAAAAGTGTCCCACTATATACTGAAAATAGAGGTTCCAAAACCTACCACAATAGCGCTGGTGTCTGAAAAACTACTTTATGAATATAGCTGTTGTAGACGGAGTGAAGTCGGCTGAATTCAAATATTTAAAAAATTTCATGACTAGAGTAGTTACTATATATAAAACCTCAACTATTTACGTAGTACAAAACCAAGCGGATTGGTCGGTCACTGTTTATTTCTCCATCTTATTCTAATTAATTTATGCGTTTTTTTTTAATCTATCCTATGCTACTGCAGCGCCACCCTTATTGGACACGTTTTTAGGGACACATTACATATATAGAGATGGTCCTCCTTCTACTCTACACTCCATAAGTAGAGACTACCAAATATCGTTATATTCGGATCGTTATGACTTAACAACTGAAATTGGTTGTTAGGCGATTACTATCTATGTCGAGACTGCAGGCACCAAAGAGTATAGTACACAGAACACTATGGTATAGTAACTGTCCTATACAGGAAGCAGGCACTGACAGCACTCTTGAGAAATGAAATTGACATTAGGGATGCTCGATGTTGCAGAAACATCGATGATGACATCGATGTTGGCATCGATAGCTCAACATCGATGTTCGATGTTTTGCCTACTCAGAACATCGATGTTGACCATTATCAATGTTTTTTGTATATTGTTTAAAAATTATGTGGGTATACACAGCAAGAGAAAAGTAACAATTAACTTGAATATCAATTTACGTAAAATAGTTATTATGCGATAACCGACAACGATACTACAAAATAAAGCGAAAGCCATGACCACTGTGACACTGTACTGTGTGTGTGTAATGATATTTTTTTTAGGTTAGCGATGCGTTCAGGAATTCTGAATAATTCAAAATTTTAAATCTTCAGAGGAGATGCAAGATATAGTTGATATTGATTTTGCGGGTTCGCATTGTTCGCAAGTTCCCAATAATCGATTATGGGTTCATTGACAGCGATGTTTGACATGTGTCAACATCGATGTTAAAACAACGATGTTTTAATTTTTAACATCGATGATCATCGAACATCCCTAATGGACATATTATGTCAATTGTAAATAGTTCTGCTTTTTGTTTATGCATTAAGTTATTGGTTATTGCCACGCGCCTTAATCACTTTAATTGTGCTAAAATCCAGGAGTAAAAGTATTCTGTGACTAAAATTTTAAAGATGACAGAAAGTGCTGTAGATATAGGAATTCTAGAAGAAAAGAGTAATTGGCTCCTACACCCAAGATTTTTCCCTAGTAAAGTAGGAGGGAAACCGGCATGGTTGGATCTTAAAAATATATGTAATACTGCGGAGTTAACCTGTAAGATATGTAATGATCCATTAGTTTTTCTATGTCAAGTATGTATTTTTTATTTAGTCGTCATAGTCTCATTGCATAAACGGCAAATTTTAACTAATCCTGATTTTCAAAGGTATATGCACCATATGAGGAAAAGGATGATTGTTTTCATCGAACGATATTCGTCTTTATTTGTAGGAATGGAACATGTTGTCGAACAAATTGTGCAGACAATTTAAAAGTCTTACGATGTCAGTTGCGACGCAATAATGAGTTCTATTCATATGAACCATACGAAGAAAAAGAAAATGAGGTATAAACAGCCCAATTTTAATATATTCCCCGATGCTTACATCTGCTTAAATCCCCGCTCGCTTTTCTTCTATCAACTCTCTGCAAACACCTGTGAATTTCTGACGTGATAATTTTTAGAATTAAAACATCTTGAAAACATGATTAGGCATGTCATACTAACTGAAACAAGTTTAGTATGCCCATAGGAGACACTGCACGTGGTTGATTTTAATAATTAATAATTTTGATTTTAAAAATCCTGTGAGGCATCTGTGCATTAAAATAAATAAATCAAATTTGCATAAAAAGAATCATGGAGTTAGTTTTTATGTATTGCATGTATATCAACATGTATACATGTATATCACTATTTCAATAAAAAAAATTGTGCCATGCAGTTGTTATACGTCTGATGGAACATTTAACCACTTTTTTATAATAATAAGAAAATTTTGAAAAAAACATTAAATCAATTTGTTTTCACTGCATTGTAGCTTCAAAACTTGCACTATTCATGCAGGCATTCCTTTCCCAGCTGATTTTGAAATTCCCTGCCAGTTGCCAGCACTGGAAATAAATGTGTCAGCTCTTTTTATAATATCCCCAGTTAGTTATTGTAAAATAGTTATAGTTTTTACCTTTTTCCAGAATTTTTCGATGGAAAGATGGCCTAAATTGTGCCATGTCTGTGGTTTAAAGGGACCTTCACATTGTGCCAAATGCAAAAAATCTTTTTACTGCAGTCGTAAACATCAAATATTAGATTGGCAAAAAGGACACAAAGAAAGTTGTTCAAACTTGGTACAACAGGTGAAATTACTATCTACTATTTGCTAAAGTTGAAAAAACTTATTTGCTTAATTAGGTTATTGAAGCACCCCTCCTTCATGCATCACTATATTTAACATTACACTGTTGAAACAAACTTGTTGATATTACAGAATAATTTAAAATTAAAAATTTTGTACAGCCGACTTCAATATAAGTTATTAAGAATAAATAATAATTCAAATAACTCAAAAACTATTGGTCTGACCTTGATCAAATTCATATGGGACCACACGAGAACTATCAGCTTTCATATAAAAAAAGAATCATCAAAATCGGTCCACCCAGTAAAAAGTTATGAGGTAACATACATTAAAAAAAACATACACGTCGAATTGAATACCGTCTCCTTTTTGGAAGTTGGCAGAAAAAGTGCATTGTGAGGTTTTTGTGAAAAAGTGGCCATTTAATTAAACACAACCAAATGGTGACAGGAAATCCATCCAAAAACCAAACACAAGTTCCACAGATTGGTGGTACTTAAAGATTCAAAATAGTTGTTTATTTTCAATTGGTATTGTTGCAATAACTATATCATTCCAATAAAGCTGTAAAAGCTGGCTTAAAGCATAAACATCACTAAAAAACAAATAAATATAGTGATTACAATCTATAACTGCCAAGTACAGCTAGAGATGTATTTATGTCATGTTGTCTTTATAGACAAACTAAGATATTAAACATGTTAGAACCATCCTGTGGCTATATTATAGTTGTAGATGAATGGTTCAGCTAGACTGGGGAAACCACATTCTCACAGAATACCAGTGTGCAGTTGCAGCTTAATGCTACTGTGTTTTGTATGATGAGTATCAGCACACTACAACAGCATATTTTTTTTGCACAATATTTACAACCATAGATTCAGGAGTATACATATTGGTCTATCTCTAAATCAGTGAAATTACAACAAAAAGTTATTTTCCATAGCTGTGTATAATTTGATATATGCTGATTCGCTTTAAAGATCATCTCATTTTTTAATTTTTATGACATTTATATTTCATTTGACCTTGTGTTGTAATATGCAGCAAGAATTGCCTACAATTCAGCCAATGATATGTCAGTGTGTCTTCAGGGAGAAATATCTTAAATACATATGTACCAGAAAGAATTGAAAAATTATCTTTTAATACTGTTTTATGTAACTAATGATATGTGGTAGAGCCACCAGGGAAGAACCACACTATCACAGAATACCAGCAAATAGCAGCTTAATATAGCTGTGTCATATATTGAGTGTAAATAACTGGAGAGCCTTGTTACCGGAAATAAGGCATTCCTTAGTCCTCAAGGTTAACAAGGCATATGAATTTTAATTCTTAATTGATGATAGATCTAGATGTGTATGGGCTACATGATGTGCATCTACTTACAATGAAGGAAGGAAGGATAATGTTGTGTAAAATTTTTTTTTATTGAACTGGCACATTTAAATGTTAGAAATACTCTCAAAATTATTTAAATCAATGAATATTTCATATTATTGATTTTACGTAAAACCTGCCTGTCTGAGAAATAAAAAAAATTCGAAGACATGAAGTCCGCCAACATATATTGGGGCAATGCGGTGGACACTTCCTTGTCCTAAAATCTTCTCAGAAGTGAGAGGCGGCTTGTGCCCAGCAGTGGGATGTATATCGGCTGTAACTTTACTTTTTACATTATAAAACAATCAAGGAACACAGTAAGCAGTTAATGCAAGATATAACCAAAATAAATTAAGTTTGCAAACTAATAACTTCATTGCAACTTACTACAGTAATTGCCACAACTGACGGAGTGGTGACACTGATTGGGACTCGTAGGACTTTGGCAGGTTACACTCAATATTTGTCTTCATTTGCCAAACTACAGTAATTGTTTGTTGTATTCGCATTCTAATAAGTCTTTAAAAATACTCGATAAGAATTTCATTCTGTTCAATTGTAACAGCATGTGTGGTGTATCAGATACATGTATTTACATACTCGCCGAGAACAGACGAATAGGTACGAGTATGAACATGTAGACGACTTGTTGGGTTGTGCTCGCTACTCGGCTCGACTATTCGCTTGTTCTCCACTCGATGCCAGGTTTTTAACACGAGTCAATAGAATGTTCATGTGTATTCATATCTGTGTTTACACTTTACATAGAGGTGACCTGTGAACTATCTTTATAATTTGCTCAGCCAATCTACAGTTATAATTTTCTCTAATATTTTTCTTTTTAAAATATATAAAAAAATATAATTATGTACTCGGTTCAGCTGAAATTAAAAATTTCACAAGAGTGAAATTACTTTTATATACTCTACTTAATACTAACTATTTCTACTTAAATTATTTGTCTTTGTCTAAAAAATACGCCGAAACTGCTTCCTTCACTTCATCATCACTTAAAAACTTTTTTCCACAAAGTTCTTTTTAAGTTTGGATATAGATAATAATCACTGGGGGCCAGGTCAGGACTATAGGGTGGGTGTGGCAAAGTTTCGAAGCCCACCTTCTGCTGGTCAGCCATCGCAACATGGCATTTGTGAACAGACGCGTTGTCGTGCAGATGAAGGATCCCTTTGGTCAATTTTCCCCTTATTTTCTCCTTTATGGCCTCCTTCAATTGTTCTAGGATTGATGCGTAGTAATTTCGGGTTATGGAGACACCTTTACCTTTATAATTAATCAATAGGATTCCTTCTGAGTCCCAAAAGACTGTCGCCATGATTTTCCCAGCCGATTCTGCCACCTTAAATGTATTGGGTGGTGGTGTGCCTTTTTGTGCCACTGCATAGAGTTCTATTTGGACTTAGGTTCATAATGGTGAACCCAAGTTTCGTCACCAGTAACAATTTGAGCCAACACTCCATCTTTGTTCTTCCATACAGAGGCCCAAAAATGCACGAGAACTCTCCACGCGCTGTTGCTTTTGAGGCGGCGTGAGCATTCTAGGTATCCATCTTGCGCTGACTTTAGTCATGCCAAGATGGTCCATGAAGAATTTTGAAAATGGTCGTCTTTTGAGGCGGCGTGAGCATTCTAGGCATCCATCTTGCGCTGACTTTAGTCATGCCAAGATGGTCATGAAGAATTTTGAAAATGGTTGTATCTGATACTCCAACTATTTCTGCGAGCTATTTTTTCATTAGGCGGGCATCTTCTAATAGTAATTTTTCGACTTTTTGAATAACTTCTGAAGTGGTTACCTTGATGGGCCTTCCTGGCCGTGAGTCGTCTTTAAGTGACTGCTTTGTTTAAAAAGGGTATGCCACTTGTAAACCATAGGTTTACTTGAACAAGAGTCTCCGTAAACGGATGACATCTCTTCCAGTATAGTTTAAACTGATTAAACTGATTTTCCGCGCTTCGATTTTCTCCATATTTCACAATTTCTTCCCGATTGACTTGTTTGGTTGACGATAACTCAAAGACTAATAATCTAATTACAATAAAACCCGGTATTTATACTAATAATGAGTTGCTCAATTAGCACGTAATTCAGACGTCCCCACTTATTGCCTACCTACCCATTCCGCGAACTTAAACACGCATCCTCGTAAGTAGCGAATACTACAGGTCAAGTAGAGAGAACACCCGAACAAGGCGTTTATATGTAAGTACTCGTGCCTATTCGTCTGTGCTCGGCGAGTATCTAACGTTCCATAAACGTGTCCTAACAATACGTAATGATTTTACGCGACCGTATTCACAACACAATATCGTATACTACTCAGGCCTGTATGGGTCGCGCACCCTCGCCAGTTGTGCAATTGCTTTGTCGAGACGTCGTAGTTGTACCCCCGAGATTGTCCTGGGAAGCATATTAAATAAAATGGTTGACCTAATTGTTTGTTAATCAACTTATGCCAATGTTGGATATTGTTGTCAATGGTGGATATTGACAAATATATAATATGGCTTTCTACGTAGTACAGTGGCTTAGCATTGAGTTGCGGCGCTGAGGACTGGTTCCAATTCCGCATAGAACAAGTATATGTATAACCTACAAATAATTGTTCCTATTCTGGATAAACATCCAGTCCATGTGCAATCCATGTATGTATGTCCGCCTATATACCACATGTGTATATGAAGTTATAAATAAATAAATAAACTGTCCCCAAAGAAGAGTTTATTACTTAACAGGTAGTCAAAATTAAAAGCTTAGATGTCGCATCCATGACCACTGCTTGCGAAAAATCTCTGCTTCTCCGCTTCTTATTCCAAAAAAATAGGGTGTTAACCAACGATTACGAGATTTCTTCATGTTTACCACGCCAAGCCCAAGGACTTTATATTACTACAAAACGTCGACCCCACTAAAGCCGTGCGTGTCCCGACTTCAAAAAAGGAGAAGATGCTCAATTCAACTGTATTCTTTTATGTGTTACCTCAGAACTTTCTTCTAGGTGTACGATTTTGGAGATTCTTTTTTTTTTATTTGAAAGCTGGTATTTCTCATGTGGTCCCATATAAATTTGATCAAGATCTGACTAGTAGTATTTTAGTTATCCTTAATAATGCGTATTTAATGGACTTCGACTACATTGATGATGCTCTCATTTTATTTATATTGAAGTCGTACATAATTTTTAATTTTACCACTTGTTCTATGGTCGATTGTCGGACCTTAGAAATTAAATTTACTCAGTGAATTTCTTAAAAAGTAATGATTAGTTTATTTTCATTGAATTACAGGACGCTGAATCTAATATTCTGCCTAACTTTATTGTAACAGAATCAGGGAAATCAATATTATTTAAAGAATGGGAGCTTGTTGTGGATGTAGAAGATGAGGTATAAATATTTAATAATTTATATTAATAACTTAATTTATTGAATTTTTTTAACTTCGATGCTCAGAAATTATCTGGGTGATAGATACCATAACAAACATATAGAAGAGAAGAACCATAGATACAAACATATCTGAACCACTCAATAAACGGTGCATCAACAAAATAGCTCTAAAAAGCCATTGCTTTAAACTTTAAAAGGATAAATGTTCTTGAGTAACAGCATTGTGCTGGTAAGCTGAGAGCAGGGCAGTCTGCGGCTTTACTCACTAGATGGAGAGAGGAGTTGGTAAAACACAGGACATCTATTGAACTTTTAGGTGTCTGGGGGACAACTATTTACCACCAATAAAGCAGACTTGTGATAGTCTATAATGATGATAGTCAAAAATATTATTTTTCCTCTTCATTAGCCTATGCCTGTGACATAGTGATATGTCATGGCCGTGGCCTTTTGTAGAAAGAATTTGTCATATTTTATATGCTTGAAAGTCAGAATATCCTACTAATATTTTGTACAACTTTCTTCTTTTGTAAGGAGGATAACACCTGTGTAGATGAAAAACAAGAGATGGAGAAACTAAGGAAGATGATGATTGAAAAAAAGGCTGGCACTTTAAGTGATATCAGTGAAAATGAGTTAGAACAATATGCGAAAAACATGCCACAAGATAAAGTTTTCAATAAATTTAGCAAAAGGATTTCAAGGCACCCTGAACAAGTTTTAAGATATGATAGAGGTGGGACACCTTTGTGGATTACTGGCAATACAGAAAATCATTTAATTTACATTCCGAACTGCCAATACTGTAATGGAGATAGACAATTTGAATTTCAGGTAAGAACATTATGCACTAAACAATCTGGTATTTGACACTAATTTGTCAATTGAAATACCTTTAAAGAGTTGTCAAAACAAATATTTCTACAAATTAAATGTATGAAAATATTTAATAACATCTATAGAATGCCAATATAATTCCAAGCTGTGATGCATTCCATCTTAGTCCTTAGAGGTGACAATGCTTATGTATAATAATAATAATAAGCCTTTTTTATTCTGAACTTCTTGGTTAAATATGAATACATGTTCTTGTTTGTTATAATATGTCCCGAAGCTCAGTTTGCCTTTTGGCATAGGCCTCCTCTAACATTTTCCACTGGGATCTGTCCCGCGTTACCCTTCTCCAATGATGTCCAGCCGTGAGTTTTAAGTCATCTTCCCATCTTGTTTGTTGTCGTCCTCTACTTCTTTTGCCACGCATCACGCATTATATGTCCTGTCCATCTCCACTTTTGTTGGTCTATTCGGGTTATTATATTGACAACTTTGGTTTTATCCCTTATTATGCTACATCTTACTCTGTCCTGTTTCCTTATTCCTGTCAAACTTCTCTCCATGGCTCTCTGACAGCGTTCCAACTTTTCTCTGTGGTGTTTGGTGAGTGCCCAGGTTTCGCATCCGTAAGTAATGACTGGAAGTATACATGTGTTGAAAACTTTCCTTTTTATTTGCATACTTAGCTCCTTAGATTTTAAAACTTCTTTCAAAGACCAGTATTTCTTCCATCCATTTCCTATTCTTCGCTCAATTTCCTTAGTGGTTTGATCTTTGTGAGATATTATCTGTCCTAAGTAGATATAGTCTGACACATATTCGAGTGGTTGGTTGTCAATTTTTATAATTACTGGTTTAGAGTTTGTAAGCAGTTTTGTTTTGTCTTTGTTCATGCTTAGGCCCACTTTCAGGCTTTCTTCATTTAGTGATTCTATCATTTTAACAAGATGCGTCGGATTTTCCTCAAATAAGACTATATCATCTGCAAATCTTAGGTGGTTCAGTTTTACACCCTGCACATTGAGACCGTATTCTTCCCAGTCTAGTTTGCGGAAGATACTTTCCAGAGCAGCCGAGAACAGTTTTGGCGAAAGAGGATCTCCCTGTCTTACTCCCCTCTCGATCTTGAACTTTTTTCCCAAGGTTTCTAGTTGGATCCTCGCTTCGCCGTTCAAGTATATGTTCTTTATAATATTGATATAATTTAAAGGTATCCCCTGCTGTTCTAGGCTTTCCCATATGGCTGTGTGCCTTATGCTGTCAAAAGCTTTAGAGTAATCGATGAATGCCATATAGAGTTTTTTTATTAAACTCATTATATTTTTCTACAATTTGTTTCATTGTGTACATGTGGTCCAGAGTGGAATAATTATGCCTGCTTGCTCCCGTGGTTGGTTTTCGTCTAACTTTTTGCTTATTCTTTCCAGGATAACTAGAAAATACCTTGTAGATATTTGACATCAGACTTATAGGTCTGTAGTTTCCTATATCTTCCTTTTTTCCTTTCTTGAATATAAGTATAATGTTTGATGTTTTCCATTTAGTAGGGATTAGACCCGTTGATAGTATTTCATTGAATAATGAAGTGAGTATTGGTAGTAGTTCTTCAAGGGTGCCTTTATTAAGTTCGTTTGTCACTTTGTCTGGACCTGGTGCTTTTTCCGTCTTCTGCCTATACCTTTTCTACTTCTCTGGGAAGTATTTTTGGTTCAGTTATCACTTTTTCCTGGTTATTACTGGCGTCTGTCCTCGAATCGTGTTTTTGTTTTCTGTCTGGATTTGAGTAAAGGTCCTGGTAAAACTTTGTGGCTATTTCGTTTATGTTTTTTCTTTTGGATGAGGTATTCTCCTTTTTGTTTAGTTTTGGTATCCATTCTTTATTTGATTCTCTAAGTTCTTTAAGCGCTTTTTTCACTCCTCCTGTTTTCGCTATATGCTTTTCTAATGTTTGCAGCCTCTTGGTCTTCCTGTCTTTTCTTATGTTTTCTCTGATCTCTTTACTTAATTTCGTTATTGTTTTTATGTGATCTTTTTAGGGTGTTTTGAAAGTAGATTTTTTCTTTTTTCTATAAGTTGTAGCATTGTATCACTAAGTTTGTACTTGTTTCCCTGCTAGTATCATGTTTTACTTGAGTTAGTAGATTTTCCAGCTTTTCATATTTGGTGTGGACATCAATGTTACTCATAGTCAATTCTTCTGGTGATTCAATTAAAGATTGTTTTATTTTCTTTAAGGTTTCGTCACTGTGGTGTCTTATAAAGTGTGAGGCAAAATACTTTCTACATTTCTTTGATGTTTCTATTCTTATGTTGCTTCTTACCATACGATGGTTTGTATTGAAGTTGAATTTAGTTAAGACCGACGTATCTGTGAAAGCCTTTGGATAGTTTGTTGTTATGTAGTCAATTTCGTTTCTGGTGTTGCCATCGGGGGATATCCATGTCCACTTGTTCTTTTGGTTTTTCTTGTAAAAACTGTTCAAGAGCGTTAGGTTGTGTTGCAGCATTAATTCGACTAGGAATTCACCATGGGGACTTCTTCTTCCTTGGCCAAAGTTCCCCAGGACGTATTCCTCCTTGCATTGTTTCGCTCCGACTTGAGCATTGAAGTCGCCCATTATTATAAGATGGTTATTTGAATATCTTGTTAGCGTTCTTTGTAGAAAAGTTTAATTTCTGCTTTTGTTGCTTGCTCTGTTGGAGCATAAATTTGTATGATTGACCATATATTTTTATAACCTGGTATGCCGATGTTAAGAATGGCTATTCGATCAGAAATTCCAATTTGCTCTTGTATGTGTTGTTTCATTGACTGTTTTATTAAGAATCCTACTCCTCTCTGACCAGCTACTTCACCTTTATGGAATAGTATGTAGTCAGTGCGTTCCTCAATCTTTTCTCCTAATCTTCGCATCTCGCTAATTCCCAGGATGTCCCATTTTATGTCTTCAAGGGCTTTTTCTAGTTCATTTAGGCTTTCTTCAGTTCTAAGGTTCTGGTTGCAATGTTGAGTATTTTGTTTCTTCTTTTTGTTAGAGGGTGGTGGTCTATAACTCCCGCGGGGACCAGCCGTAGTGGGAGATTATTTGTTATTTTGTTTTGGTTGTTAATTTTAGTTCTTATTGCTATTGTTTGTTTCCGATTTTCTGAGGCGGTTATTAGTTTTTTGACGCGTTTATTAGTTCGGGATCAGAACTTGTTCGGTTGATATAGTTAAGTGTGCTAGGTCTCATGACCTCTTTATTGCTAGTTTTGGATAGCGATTGTGTAGGATTTCTCAAGGTTTGGTTTATATTTACTTTCTTCTGAGCTGATGACTTAGGAGAATCTGAAGTTTCTCTTTTCCTCTTCTCTCTATTGTTGTCCTTCGGTTGTAACACTATCAGTTTGTCATATTTTATGTATGCGATGTGTCCCTTCTTTTTCTCTTCTTCAAGTTGCGGTTATAGCTGTTTTCGTTTTACCAGGATTTCCTTAGAGTAATCTTCTTTTACATTAATACCTGAAGGGAGGTTTGTCTTATTTTTGAGTATAAGGTGTTTTTTCCATTGGGTCGTGATAGATGCTATGACTGGACGATTTATGTTTTCGCTTTGTTTTCCGATTCTATACACATTGCTAATTTCGTGACTATCCATGTGAACTCCCATGTCTACTATGAGGTCCTTAATGTAGTCAACTAGTACCCCTTCAGATTTTCCCTTCTCTTCGATTCCGAAGAACACAAGGTTGTTTTTACGTTTTTCTTTATCTACTGCTTTCAGTTTTTGTTCCAGTTCTGATACCTCATTTTTAAGGAAATTATTTTCCTCAATAATTGTTTTCATCTTCTCATCTAGCGCTTCCATGACATTTTAGTTACCGAATGAGTTATTTTGTTTCAGTTTTGTTTCTCTAATTTCTCATCAAGTTTGAGGAGCAGTAATTCCATGTTTTTGTCCATTTGATTTATGATCTTTAAAATTTTTCAGATGGGGTAGTTCTGTTTATGTTGTGGTAACTCTAATTAGTTTAGGAAATTTTCCTTCAAATTAGTGGCAACCCTGTATATGTCACTGTCACTGTCGTGAGGTTGGTACTTGACACTGGCTGTACACAGTACGGATGTGACATTGAGTGAAAAAAAAATCGATTAATAAAAAAATCGATTTTTTTCTTTGTGATAATAATCGATTAAAGAAAAATCGATATTTTTTTTATTAAAAAATAATCGATTTTTGTGAAAAAAAAATTATTTTGTTCGAAAAATAATCTTCTGGTTTTAGAAATAAACTACCGAACCATTTTATTAATATATAACTTTGAACAATAAAAAACTAAAAATAATTACTGCCACAAATGTTCAGTGCCATTTAACAATTTATTACTACCAAAATAAACAGAAACGATAAATTAAACTAAGTTTTACGGATTTTATCGCGTTTAATTTAACTTTTTAATTCCCGACATTTCAGGTGCTTTGCAGCACGCATAGTCACAGAGGGGACTGAGGTGTTTGACGTCCCTATGTCATAGTTGAAACACAAATCCTCGCAAAAGAACACCGATTCCTACCAATGATGATTCGCGAGTCTATCGAAATTAAAAAACATCCTCCATCTGCTTGGCATCCTATAATTAATAAAATTAAATCCAAACCCAAGCATACCACTGTAAGACTTCAAGATACTGTAAGCTTATTCTGTGTAGATCGGACCAAAAATTAATATTCAAAAACTGAATTTAGCCAGGCCAACTATGACATCTGGACGTCAGTTCCCCCCGTGGCCATGGGTGCTGTGAAGCACCCGAAACGTCAGGAATTAAAAAGTTAAATTAAGCGTGATCAAATCCGTAAAAATTAATTTCATTTAACGTGTAGTCTTCGCGTAAATATAAGAAATCATTAAGAAACCATAATTTTAGTAAACGATAGTTTTTTTTAAACTAAGTTTGAACAAACAAAAAGTCATCATCATATCATTATGCCACTAATGTTCAGTATCATTTACATTAGATTA